TTGTCACCGGAAAACGGCGGGTGAAGAAAGAGTAAGCGCGGTAAATGCGGCCCAGTCCTGTCTCATTGTAAACTACTGAACACTCAGGTCCCAGTTTTCGGACCTAACTAGTGAGACGGCGGCAGTCGAACTGGTGCGCCTAGACTTGCCAGTGAGTTAATAATCTTCATGCCTTGTAGCAGACTTAAATGTACATTGAATTGAGAGAAAGAATAACCCGCTTTCATGAATTCGGTCTTTGAACAGTTATATAAACTGACCTAATTGGGCTCTTTTGTGGATCTGATCAACCCGAATGTTCCAGGAAACTAACATAAAAAATGTTAAGCCCTTGCACTTTTCATTTTCCGAGACCTTCCTCATTTAATCACGTACTGTCACCGTTCTGTGACTGAGGCTAGTACGTGACTTGGGTTTCAGCAGTCACTAGGGAATATTGTTTTCCCATCTAGCACTGTGCTATCATTCTGTTTCATCAGTTGTCTTCTATTTCGAGCAAACATTCCAAGCTCGACCGTTTTCTGTTGCAAAGTGCACCGCGTCGTATTTATTCCCACTCGTTTTTCTGGCCTCCCTATACGAATTATGAATTTCAGACCCCCTCCCCCTGTTTGCTGGCTCGTTACCTGTTCACACGCATTTCCTCTCTTTTTAGGGGCATTAATTCGACCGCGAAAGTGATAGAGACAAACTTCTCAGCGTAAGCCCATCTTTACTATTGCTGTCAACCGTCTTTGCACGTTCCACACGCCATTTCTTGCATGTTTCTCGTCCGCCCTGCCCCCCCCCTCCCCCGAAATAGTCTCAACGCTAGTCGTATTTGTTTATATAACTGCAGTGCCTATGCTAGTTGACTTATTGCGCCCTCCTTATCTTTAATACTACACACGAATTAGTCACCTTACTTTCACGGTACGAGGCCTTGCTGTTTCTTCATTTTCTTCCACAGTGTTGATCTTTCGGCGATTCTCGACCTGAACCTCTATTCATCCAGGTACATTTTTGTTTGTCGTCTTCTACATTCCTACTACTTTTGCTCATTTAAGTAGGTCCCTTGAGAGTTTAAAGGCAGCCTTCATTCCCGACAAACCGCACCTAGACCATGTAAGTTCCCTGGTTCCTCTCCCTCCTTATTACTAGAAAAGTCGATAACCACCGTGACTATAGAGCTCGTTACTCCCCTTGACCGGACTAAATTTGAGAATTTTTTCGAAGGCCTTATCTGGGAGAAAAGGCTGGATGTTGGTGGGGATACCGCGGTGGAGGTAATGCGGGCCAAGGCAAGTATTCTTTGAAAGTCTGCGCATAAAATTGTGTCTTGTTATCATAGCGCCAAATATGCGCCGCGTTCGGAAGTTATCTCTTCTTAGCTTATTCCGTCATTGGCTAGTTTTATCTCTTGGCAGAAATTAACTGAAGCAGCGGACTTTAGTCTCAAAGGATAAAATGCTCTCT